TCGCACCACTGCACTCCAGCCTGGGTGACAGAGAGAGAGTCTGTCCCAAAACAAAACAAAACAAAAAACAAACAACAACAAAAAAGACCTTTTACCCAATACTTAATGACAAGGTATGACTTGCAGAACTCTATTAATATTGCAATTGCATACTGTTCTCTTACTTTCAGAAAATAGCCTGATAGCCTTACTTACTACCTTATTGAGAAAATAGAGAAATCATTATTACGTATCCCCAACGTCCTTCAGGAAACTCATCTTTCCTGCCTCCAACCTTGCTCTGCTTTTTGTAGAACACACACCCATACACAAGTGCTCTGTACCTATAAAGATATCCTCATTCCATCCTATGCTTACTTTCTTTCTTCCTTTCTCTGTGAAGGATACTTTTTCTCCCACCTTCTTAGAGCTGATGCCTACATTTGTTTTTAATTCATTGATTCCTGCCTACGTTAGTTTCTTATTGTTGCTGTAATAAATTACCACAAATTGGGGGCCCTAAAACAATACAAATTTATTCTCTAACCATTTTGGAGGTAGTGGTCCAAAATCAGTTTGCCTTGGCTGAAGTCAAGGTGTTGGCAGAGCTAGTTCCTTCTGGGGTCTTCATTTTTTTTCTTTTATTTTATAATATTGTGATTACATTGGGCCAATCCAGCTAACCCAGGAAAATCTCTTCATGGCAAAATTCTTAACTTAATCACACCTGCAAAGTCCCCTGTACCATGGAAGGTAACATATTCTTAGGTTCTGGGGATTAGGACATGGACATCTTTACACTCTTCTGTATACTACACTGCCTCTTCCTGTCTCTTCTAGATTTTTGCTCCATAGAGTCCCTTCTGTTCTGCATCCTCAATGTTCCCTTCTCTTCTGGATTCTTCTTTTTAGCCTGTAAACCTGCTTACATTTCTCTCATCTTAAAAATTATTTTCTGGCTGGGCATGGTGGCTCATGCCTACAATCCCAGCACTTTGGAAGGCCAAGGCATGTGGATCACCTGAGATTAGGAGTTCAGACCAGCCTGGCCAACATGGTGAAATCCCATCTCTACAAAATTAATAATAATACAAAAATTAGCCGGGCTTGGCAGCATGTATCTGTAATCCCAGCAACTTGGGAGGCTGAGGCAGGGGAATCACTTGAACCCAGGAGGTGGAGGTTGCAGTGAGCCGAGTTTGCACCACCGCACTCCAACTTGGGCAACAGAGCAAGACTTCATCTCAAAAATAAAAAAAAAAGAAAAAGAAAAAGAAAAAAAGAAAAGAAATTCCATTCCTCAGTTTTCTCATCTTCAGCCTTATTGTTCCCATGCCTTTCATAGTCAAACTCCTTAAATTTGGCTTCTTTAGCTCTTATCTCCACTTCTTCACTGTCAAATTGCCCCACAATTCACTGAATGATTTCTCTACCTGCCATTCGACCAACAGAGTTCTTTCTCAAATTGATTACAAACATCTTTATTATTGTAATCTTCTAGTGACATTTTTCCAATCCTTATGTGACATCTTTGCAGCATTTGACATTGTTTCTGACATTTTCTCATACCTGGTGTCAGAAGAACAAATAGCACTTTCTTGATTTTTCCCCCATTACATCATTCTAAAATCTATACTGTGGACTCTCCTTAACACTATGATCCAACATTGGTGTTCTTTGGGTATCATCATTGACCCCCTTTCGTTTTACTATGATGATCTATTTGGATTATCTAGTTTATTCCCTAATTCTATCTATTGTCTATGAAAAGATCTCCAAATTTTTGACTTCTGCTAAATGTCTATCCAACTGCCTGCTGGGAATCTCCACCTGTGTGACCTGCTGGCATCTTAAACTAAGCACATCTGAAACCAAAGCCAAAGCTGCATTTCTCCTTCCTCTATTTCCTTGTTCAGTTATTGGTATCCCAGTCACCTAAATTGAGCCAGAAAATCATCCTTAAACCTTCACTCTTACCCCCTACATTTAACTGCCTCTATAGTGGATATAATGGTGGATATTTGCTGGCTCAATATCTATTCCAATCTGTTTCTACTGTGTCTTCTTGTACTCAAAAATACCTGCAAACTAAACAATGATGTTTCCTAGATGCCCTTGAAGCTAGATCTGATTGTGATTTATGTTCCACTAACCAGACATATTTATGTGAGGCTTGGTTCAGAACTGAGCTTAGAAAGGAGAAAAGTAGACAACAAGGCATCCACTTTGCTGGTGTATCTTACAACAGACAACTTGGTTGTTCCAGCAACTTCCCAATTGATCAATTGGTTATTATGCTCACAACAAGAGAAGTGACTCCCTTGGCAGCCCAGTTCTGTTGTGTAACATTGGGAATTATTACTAGAAATTCAGTCCAGTATCTGATTCTTTAGCCCTTCCAAACATTCTTTTAACCATGTATACTCTGTTAAAAAAAATTATTTCTGCTTAATCTGGCCAGAATATATTTTGTTCTCTGCAACTGCACCTTAAGATACTGAGCTGCAAAATTATATGGGTGTTTATTCCTAAAAATATGCTAAAATCGCTCATGTCTGTCCCTTGCCTTAGTTCAGGCCCTTACTGTTTCTTGTCTGGGCAATTGCAATGACTTTCTAATTGTGAAAACTAATCACATCTCCCTACATACATAAACTTCTTCAAATATACTTTATCCACAAAAGTTAAACCCCAGAGTCTTTATTAAAATGGCAGGCAAATTATTTTTTTCCCATCTGTTCTACCTCACTTCCCAACAAGCTTCTATGCTCATCTCATGTTCCAACCATCAAGCTCCAAGCACAGCTCATCATGTTGTGCCTGTGTGATTCCTCCTCTGTGTTCCACCTTGCGGTTACCTATGGTGCTTTTAAGGTCCAGCTTCAATATTTTCTTCTCTGTAAAACCTTCCTTAACTCATCCTGACCAAGATGGACCTCTTCTCTCTGTGCACTGCATTCTTGCTTATCTGCTTTTCTAGCTGTCTTTTCGAGCCTTCATTTAATTCAAAAATCATGCATAGTCATGTACTGTGTAATGTTTCAGTCAATAACAGATTGCATATACCACAGTGGTCCCATAAGATTATAATATATTTTCACTGGACCTTTTCTATGTTTAGATACACAAATACCACTGTGTTTCAATTGCCTATAGTATTCAGTACACTCACATGAATCGAACTGTAGCCTAGGAGCAATAGGCTATTGCATATGGCCTAGGTGTGTAGTAGACTATACTGTCTAGGTTTGTGTAAACACATTCTATGATGTTTGCACCATGACAGAACTGCCTAAGGATGCATTTCTCAGAATATATTACTGTTGTTAAATGACACATGACTGTATGCACATCTCTGTACTCCTGTGCCCACTCAGGACATAGTCCATATGGTACTTATGCCTCAGTAAACATTTGAATGATATAAATATCTCCAATAGAAAACAGAAGAAACAGGAGAGTGAAATTTAGCCTTCACTGTCAACAAATATTTAACAAATGTCTACTAAGTTAGATTCTAGGGATACGGTGGTGAAAAAAAAAATCTTTCTTGGAACTTATTGTCTATTTGGGGAGAAAGTTAAAAACAAATAACAAAATATGAACAAAATAATGACAATTGGTAATAAATGCCCTGAAAGAAACAAACAAGGGACTAAAGAAGAGTTGAAACCCTGAGATTTATAAAGGAAATTTCAGCTTAGAAAAGACAGAATCAAGCCTGAATGCATCCAAAGGGAAAGCTCAGTAGGAATTAGATCCTTTACAAGATTCCTTGCTGATTGCCCCCATCTTTGCTTTATTCCTCTACCCTTATGCTCACAACTCTTGTAGAGTACATCCATTCTCCAGTACATCATCTCCTTTTTGTAAACCCCTATCCTCTCTTCAGAGTCAAGTTCCCATCCTGATTCCCCAAGCCTGAATTACCTAGTCTCATAATAATGCCTTCAAGGTTTCTGCAGGACACGCCAGCATAGGAGCAAGCCACATGCCGACTCCTTTAGCTCTCCATATCAGTGTGGGTCATACTAATGCTTCTTAGCTTTCCAGAGGCTTGATGAATGTCTGTTGGATGGTTCTCTCACCTCCTCCCTCTCTCTGTCTCTCTTTCACACACATAAACACACACACACACACACACACACACACACACACACACACACATATATTCAGTTTCACATATACCAATGGTAAATATTAATTCTTAGATTTTAAACCCAAATAAAGAAACATCCTCCTCAAATGCCTATAATTTGCAAGTGTGTCTCTCTCTCTCTCCATGGAGTTAAGTCTTACCATTGCTACTGAGCCTCTTCTGTGTCCCCAGTATGTGCTTCATGCTGGGGACACAGAAGCAAAGACCAAAAGTCCTACTTTCACACACTGATTGCCCAGTGAGAGTCTTAGCCACCTCCAAAATATCTTTTGCATCTCCAGTCTTTTCTCTCCATCTCCATCCCCTTGAGTCTTCACTGCTTTCCTGGTACAGTTTTCTCTGGCTGCCCTGAGCTTGTGACTGTCTTAGTTTTTCTAGCACTTGTTAAAATAGACCTTATGTTATTATTAATGTCTGTTTCTCCACTAGACTGCAAGGTCTTTGAGGGATGGGATCCAGGTTTGCTTCCCTGTACCTAATACAATGCTTCTCAGATAATAGATGCTCAATAATTTTTTTGAGTAAACATCTCTTAAGCTCAGAAAAGACTCTCCAAGTGACATTGAGTGACTTTCCAAACTCCCATTAAATATTAGAGATAGGTATGAGCCACTTCTTTTGCTGTTGGGGAAACTGAAGTTCTAAGAAGAGAACTTGCATTTGTAGTCTTTTTCCTTTCAAAGCTCTTTTGTGTGTAAAAGAAATTTTGTACAGTAAAGAATGATCTCTATGTAAATGACTATCATTTATTATGCTATCCCTGGGGCAGAGTCATGAAATAACTTGTATTGAATGACCCCACTTCACAGATGCAGACACTGACAGAAACAGAGCATTAGCGTTTGATCTAGAGCCAACCAACCACTCAAGGTTCAGCCACTCATGACTCAGTTCTTTATATGCAAGCACTGTAAGAACTTGGTGAATTATCTTTACATTGATGATGGTTTTCTCTAGGCTTCCTACCTGTGGCTAAAAGAGCACAAGGGGAGGAGTCAAAGTACCTGGGTTTGAAGCTTGACTCCACTACAACTAGGTCTGGGTTAGCTCCAAGTCCCAAAGTCATGATACTTGCTATGTCCGCTTCTTATATCAAGTGAACTAATACATACCTAAATCCTGCAATCTGTTTGAGCTGTGTGTGGGGTACCATTTCCATTTTTTCTCTAGGCCTTATAGATCACTTATGGCAAATACTGTGTCTTCTGGCTTTGCAACACCAAATTTGAATAGTTAATTTACTACAAGACATTGCATGAGTCCTAAATCCATATTAAACTAATAAAGATATATAAATAAATAATGCTAAAATAAATCCAAGAACAAAAAGGGAGGAAGGAAGGGAGGGAGAAAGGAAGGAAGGAAGGAAGGAAGGAAGAAAGAAAGAAAGAAAGAAAGAGAGAAAGAAAAAGAAAGACCGAGGAGAAAAAGTGATTCATCTATTCCAAATCTCCTAACAGTAGAAAAAGAACTCCCAGCATTTTGTTAGCCTCCTTTTTAAAAAAATTACTCCAAACGTAAAATAAATATAGAGGTCTAAACACACAGCTAGTGAAATCCATTGTAACAACTCAAATTCATTTGCACCAAAAATAACAAAAACTTTTGGCTTTCAGTTATATAGATCTATGTCTGGTTACTCATTCCTTAAAACAGGATCTGTAAATCAAGTTGCTGACATTTGAGTGGTGGCTGGAGTCCATTTTCAATTTCATTTCAGTTCATGTAATTACGTTCAATTATGGTTTAATAAATTGACAATATCAAATTAATACTTTCTTTGAGGTTTGAAAAACCCCAGACACCACAATGTTTAAGAAAAATTCCTTTAACCTACTGCATCTTGTCTCATCCAGTCGCTGACACAGAGTCCTGCCGTAACTCGGAAACTCCTCTCCACGACTATCTGCAGAGGAGACAGCGTTGAGAGGAAATGTTTAAACTGAATACATCCAAGTAGATGTGGATAAAGACCCAAGTAACTTTTCCTAAAGGCAAGGCACTCATCCTGCTCTCCTGTTTGCTAACATCATCATGCAAAACCCAGTGAGTTTTCAAAGGTTAGGGACCAGCCACTGCTTCTGCATGAGGCAGGGAGACCTGCACTATGGCCACATCATCAGATTCAATGGTGTGTCCCAAGGCAACGCCTGTCCTTTCAGGCTGAAAGCTTCATTTGTCTTCAGTTCTGCCGAGACCCCAGAGACAGAGCTGCTTTCACAGCCTCCCACTCTCTGAGGGGTCACCTGTCGCCTTGCCCAGGTCAAGGGAGGTCAGCTTCTCAACGGGAATTTTTTTAAAAAGGAGGCAGGCACGGGTCTGTCCATAAAAGGACCTCTTTGAGGTTGGTGGGAAAAAAAATGCAATGCATTTTGTGTTCCCAGTTAGACCCTCTGGAACGAGGCCGCCTGAGAACAGCCCTGTGAACAGTTCCTACTGGAGGACGGCCAACAGAGGCCACCCAGATGCTTTTCACAGGACCTCTAGCTGCCTCTGCTAACCCAGAGGCAGACGAAATTGGAGTCAGGGCGGCCACCTCCTGCTCCTGTCTCCCCACCCCCACCCCTGGGCGGCTGCTGAGCAGCACAAGACTTTACTGAACCAGCTGCCTCGTGACAGGATAAAGCAATTTAGGGTCAAGGACAGGAAACCAGATTTGCACAGACAAGCACGATGAAAAGCTGCCATTTGCTGATGACCATATGGAGCCTTCACTCTTCTTCTCCTCCCTTCTCTTCCATTGAAAAGCAAGCCACACACGACTTTCCCACCCAACAACCCTTTCACTCAATATACCTGCTGGAAGAGAGTTCAGTCACATTTTGACACAAGTAGCAGGCCCATATGTAGTTCCTGTGAACATTTCTTCTGTCCCTTTTCCTCCTTTCCTTCCCTCTGAAGGCCTCGGGCACATCCAGTGGGTACCTTGTGCTGGACTTATGCAATGTGGAAAGGCAGGGGCAAGGGCAGCCACGGGCAGTGCTCAGCTGTGGGAAGGAGCCTTGTGAGGAGCCGCCTCCTCTTTTCTAGCAGAGAGAAAAGAACTGCCTGTTCTCTAGCCTTCCTCCCCAGGAATCAAAGAGCCTCCCCACACAGGGCACCCACCTCTGAACAGCCGGCCCGCCTGACAGCTCACCTGAACTAAGTGTGCCTTCCCTTCCCTTCCCTTCCTGCCGCCCCACTCCTCCGCCCACTGTGACAAACCTGAATGTGCTCTTGAATTTTATTCTTCGTTCTTTGGGCTTATGCTTTGCTTCAATCTCCACAAGACAAAAATGTTAATTTGCTTTTTTCCAAAGCCAATTCAGATATCCCTTTCTGTGTGAAGCCTCTGGATGTGTTCAGGTATTCCCTCCTCCTACAATCTGTATTTACAACTACTACGGATTTGTAATGAAGTTCTTTAGCTATTGCCAGGGAAGTGTGGATTTTAAGGCTCATCTTGAAGCACTGCAGCATGGATGCCTCATCAATGCTTCTAAACTGATGCCCCTTGTGACTAAATCCAGGCATTTTGGGGGATGACTGGAGGACACTGAACCTAACAATCCCATGGGTTAGAGCTCGTAATTTTGGCTTCATTTAAGCAGTACCCTAACAAGCCCTTCAGCTGACCAGCCCCAGCTCTTAGTTACCAACAGGCAGCACAGTCTAAGAAGAACTGACTCATTATCATCTGGGAGTGCAGATTCGGGACCACGGCATCTAGATACAAACCTGTACAAGAAAATTCAGGAGGGAAACAAAAGAACTCCACCATCATCCCCTTACACAGCCTTTTGTGGCACCAAGACTTTATTAAATTCGGTGTGTGTTCTTGTGGAATCTGCACATGTTCTTATTGTTGCTTCTTTAAGCCTGAAGCAATCTTGCCTGTCTCAGCTCTCTTGTTCATCAGAGACTGATGGCTGCCAGTTACTGTTTAGTTGCTGGTAGGATGCTATTTGAAGGAAACACATCTGAGGATGCTTATGCTGCTAAAGTATCTTCTTAGTTGGATAATGCAAGACAGCACATTTTGGGAGGTGGAAGACACACAGTGGCAGTTCAGAAGGAAGACAAAGAGGAAACAGACCGCTGACTCTGGTGGGAACCTGGGTGGTATGTGGTGTCCCTCACATAGAGACACAGATCCTAGCAAATTACCACAATGCCAAACAGAGTGCCACGACAGACATAATGGAACCATGTCCCTCCTTTGTCCAACAATTAAGAGAAAAGTTAATGGTATTTGCTTTTGCTGTTTTCAGCCAAGAGCATTAAAAGTATGTCTAGTTTCCCCCTTAAGATGCATTCTAAACATTTCTCAGGTGAAGCGCATAGAGGATATATGCTACCATGGAGCTGCAGCCACTGCCTCAAGCAGTTCATGTTTCCTTTTGGGACTTGTTTCCCATCACGTTCCTACCTGCTAATTCCTCCAACTTGTCTTAGGTCACTGGGAAGTCTCTGAGTTGCTCACCTATTGTTTCTCGTTTTAAATTCCAGTTCCTTCTCAGCAAGCTCATCACCTGTACGGTAGGGCTCCACGAAGCTCTTCAGAGCTTGCTGACTCTGCTTCTGGGCGTTGCTAAAGGAATGGATTATAGCGCTCCCATTTTGCTGTCCCTGGTCATTCATGTGGTCATATGCAGCTCCATGACATCACCAAGTGAGCGCATCACATGTCTGGTGTGTGCAAATTCCCTTACCAATTGTTTGTCATTGTTTTGATGGAAAAATAAGAAAAAATAAGGGTAAGGGCACACCTCATCTTTTGTGTACTGCAAAGATCACAGATATTTTACAAAAACACATTGCAGACACCAAGTACTTCTTAGACTATTGAATAAGTTGTAAGAAACTCCTGAGCTTGTTTCCCAAGCCCCTCTCTACTCTTCTCCCTGAGATACCTCAGTTCTGAACTTGAGATCAGGCTGGAGATTAGGAAGCTTCAAAGGCTATTTATACAAAACACATACAACATGCTTAGGTTCTGCTGTAGAAGACAATACTCTTTGAAACTTATAAGTAAAAATCCCCCAAAAAACTTTTTATGAATGCAAGGATAATAATCTCTTCTAATAATGAGAAATCATCTTTGGAAAACTTTAAGTTATGGCTTTGTCAAATAAAGCATATGTATATGTGTGTATATATATACACACACACACACATATACATATACATATACATATACGTATACATATATTAGACCTATAATGTCCCCCTGGCAATCCACAGGAAGTACAGTATGCATGAACAGACAAATGGATGCAGAGATCCTCTCAAATGATTAAGATGGAAATGTATAATATATTTCTCAAAAAAAAAACTTTGTGAAAAAAAAAACACAAAAACCTCTGGGATGGCCTTCTCAATTCCCAAAAAGCTCAAGATGACTTTGGGACATAGTAAAACCTAAAAGAAAGGAAACCAAATAAAATCTCCAGGATCATCACATGGTAGGAAGTCAATTTAAAACTGGGAATTTAAGAGCTGTGACCTCTGGCCATCCCAGATTCCATCCTTTGTCCTCGAGACCCTGAGTCTTGTCCCATGTAACAGTCTCTGAGGAGCCTTGGTGACACTAATTCATTCATGTATCCAGTTTATTCAGGAAGTGTTTGCTTAGGCATTCACTATTTTAGTACATGGTGTTAAGTATTGTTGGATTTACAAAGAGTAATAATCATAGAGAAGATTCACTGAGTGACTACTAATCACTATAGTAAGTGTTTTATATGCATTTCTCACTTTATTTCTCACAATTCCACACTATGAAGTAGATATGATGGTTATTATTAGATTATTTCAACTTACAGGTGAGAAAACTGAGACTTGGATTGGCCAACTTACCAAGGACATAAATCTGTTAAGGGGTTTTCTGGAATACAAGTGCAAATAATCTGACTCCAGAGCTCATGTTTTAACCACTACTCAACACTACACAAGGACATAACCAGCCCTGAGGCACTTACACTTTAGTGGAGGAGGGAAAGCACATCAACTTGTAGAGATACTACAAGGCACTGTGCTGTAGAGCAGGAGCTTAGGAGTCTGGAGTTTCCTGGAGCTGGGCTATATAAAGGTGAAATCACCCATGGCTGAGGTAACCGTAGGTAGCTTGAGAGGGAGACAGAATTTGAGCTATACCTTGAAGGGTAGGTAGGATTTTATCGTTGTATCATTATCTCAATTCAAACCTGAATAAAACAAAACAATTTGTAATTGTCCTACGCTTTCTCATGCCCTAGTCATGGAGTCATTTTTTAGCTCAATACTACCTTATATGAAGTCTTTCAAAGCATTTGAAAAGACTACTGAGTTTATCTTCTCTTCTGTTCCTACAACTGCCAAATTGATTCAAAGCCTCATGTCTTCATCCTTTCTGTGCTGCTGTCACAGAATACATAAAGAACACATAACAGAATTGATAAAGAAAATAAATTTCCTCACAGTTCTGGAGGCTGGGAAGTCCAAGACGGAGGGGCTGGCATCTGGCGGGGGCCTTTCTACAATGTTCTTAACAAATCAGAGACATTACAGTAAGGGATATAGGAATTCCCTTTCCCTGTCCACTTGAAGGAATCAAAGCATTTTATCAACAGAAAAGTGGAAACATTTTCATTTTAGATATTTAATTTCTCAGTTTTTCAAACACACTTTATTTGACTTTTGGACAACTGACATGCTGAAGCCAAGGTTCATTTCAGCCTTCTGGTCCCATGAGTTTGGAGGTGGAAGTTTGGGAATACATTTTTAAAAAATGTACTGTGTATAAACGCTGATCTAGCACATGATAATCATTTTCCATTATCAAGTAAATACCATCACTTTTTATTAATATTCTTTTGGTTGAATTAACACTAAACATTTCTACATTGAAATTAGTATTCTATTAAGTCAGGAGGGTGAAAAAATAATTGCAGAAGAAGTGAAAATAAAGTAACATGACATTTGCTGTGAAGTTGTCACCAAGGAGTTTCCATAAAGAAATAATAGATAAAATGCAAACATGGAAAAGGCAAACAAATGTTCTATAGCAGTGGTCTCCAACCTTTTTGGCACCCAGGACCACTTTCATGGAAGACATTTTTTCCATGGACAGGGGAGGGAGGGATGGTTTGATGTTGATTCAAGTGCATTACATTTATCATTAGATTCTCATAGCGCATGCACAACCTAGATCCCTCACATGCCCAGCTCACAATTATCACGTGCTAGATCAGCTCACAATAGGTTCACACTCCTATGAGAAACTGGCTGATCTGGCAGGAGGTGGAGCTCAGGAAATAATGCTTGCTCACCTCCTGCTGTGTGGCCCAGTTCCTAACAGTACTCTTCTGTGGCCCAGGAGTTGGAGATCCCTGTTTTATAGTTTTTTTCCCCCTAAAAATGGCTTATGTAATATTCTCCTGAAACTTAAAAAAGGAAGATAGAAATCATGATTATTGAAAAAGAAATTCGAAATTAGGAATTAGTAGTAGCGTAACTGAACAAGGTCTAATCAACCATCTTTTTCATGAACACTAAGCACTGACTAGAGAGTTCAAGAATGAAAGATCCTCTGAGTCCTTGGGGTCTTCCTGACTCCTCCTATGCCCTGCTGACTCCTCCATAAGATGTCCATCCCTTCCCTTTCATCCATTCTCTTGTTTCTCTCAGATCCTGGCCCTGCCCACCATCATACCCTCTCAACACACAATATATTCACAAATGATAAGCTCACCCAGTACCCCATTCACAGAGAATTGGAATTTGGGTTTTCTAGCACTCCCTGTTCTTGTTTCATGCCCTTTTAGAGCCCCAGAAGTCACAGAATTTGGTCTAGACTCCATTCCCCACAAATGCCAATGACAGCAAAGGCTTCCAAGTCTCCAGGTCAGCTTCCCTAGGAAACCACCATAGGCTCTGACTCCCCACCCTGGAGACTTACAGGGAGACACCCAATCGTTCATTCTCAATGCCTTGTTTTCATGAACTAGGAACTCTCATTAGAAAGTGATGAAAAGTTACAGGCTCCCTAGTGGCATGTGGTAATTTTGCTTTCCATCCTCACCTATTAGTTTTCTACCATCTCAATGTTCACTCTTTTTTCAAGCGATTCTCCTGCCTCAGCCTCCTGAGTAGCTGGGATTATAGGCACATGCCACCACGCCAGGCTAATTTTTGTATTTTTAGTAGAGACGGGGTTTCACCATATTGGTCAGGCTGGTCTCAAACTCCTGACCTTGTGACCCACCCATCTCAGCCTCCCAAAGGGTTGGGATTATAGGCGTGAGCCACCGTGCCCAGCCTCACTGTTCACTCTTATACCTGTTCACTCTTATACCTTCCTTATACCTTATACCTCAGACCCCAACCTGTATCCCAATACATATGATATAGGCAACAGCTAGCTCAACTGAAGAAAAGATGAATTTACTGACAAAGAGTAGGCCATGACACCCAGTGGGGCCAAGAATGTGTAACTGGAACACAAAAAAGATGGTAAAACATTAAGGGAATAAAGACAAGAATACCTGACTTTGGCTTTAAACAACTCTTAAGAATAAGCCAGTATAGAACACTGCCCCTTTTTGGGTTAAGACAAAATAGTGAACGACTTAGTGAGAAGAGATTTGGGCTCCAGACAAGGGAAGTGTAGGAGACATATAGGATATAATTATGATGTGATTTTAAAATTGTGGTAAATGCAAGGTCAACCTAGGATCATTTCCCAAAATGTCCCCAGACATTTTGCAAGCAAGACAACTCTGCAAGCAAGAGAGATACAATGGTAAAACATCCACCATCAAGGGTGATGCTGCTTTGCTCTCAAAGCCCAGAACACAGAAGAGTCTAAGTAATAGAAGAGTGGGTTAGAAGCTAGAGCTGTAGATCCCAGTATCTGGCTCTGGACATGTGCTAGGCTGACTGCATGGGCTCGCCTGGGCAACTTAAAAAAAAAATAGGGCTACCTGGGTTCAATCCCCAGAGATTCCCATTTAGGAGGTCTGAAGTGGTAATCAGGAATCTACATTTTTAAAAATGATTCCTGGCTGATTTAAATGTACAGCCAGAATTGTAATCTACTGGGCTAGAAGCCTCACGTACTGAGTTCAGTGACTGACGTCCCCTGCTAGTTTGTTGACTGTCTCTCAAAATGTCCATAGGATGAAACAACAAGGAGCGAAGGCTTGACAAGTAGGTGTATGAATGTAAGGATGCTTGTGGTTAGAGCAAGGACAGACTGCCTGAACAGGATATCATTAAAGAAGAAATAAGCAGGCCTGACATTAGCAGAAGAGTTGCAGGGAAAGTGTGAAACTTGCACAAGAAAAGAAAAAAGCCCCTCAGAAACAACTGCTAAGAAAACGTTACATATTAGTGAACAACAGAATGGCAACAGAGCTAGTGTCATTGAGCCATGCCTTCCTCTCTTCATCAGTGTGCTAGATCCTCAACCCAGTTGTCTGCAGTAATGTCTTCCCTACTTCATCTGCTTTTAACCTCCTTTAATGACACTGCATTTCCTATTTTCAAAATACACTCACCATTTTCAATCCTCTTTCTCACTAGAAGGCAGAGTAATATTTTAAGAGCGCATTGTGGAGCCAGTCATCCCTGGGGCTCAAATCCTGATGTAATTCCTTGCT